ACCTGGGTAAGATCCACTATGGCATAACCTGCCTTTTTTTTTTTTTTTTTTTTTTTGTATGTATCTCAGAAATACAACATTAGGAACACAGTAATTCTTCCCACCATACCCTCCCTCCCACCCACTCTATGCCCTCTACCTCCTCCCTCTCTTGTTTAGCCCAAGAAAGAAAAAGAAAAGTGGAATTTAAAAAAACTGAGAGAACTGTTCTTCAATGGTCTAGAGAAAGGCTGTCCTATGTTATTGCTTCTCAAAGGTGATTTTACTTTTTTTTCCCCTTCCTCCTTTCCCTTCCTTCCTCCCTCTTTCCCTTTAGAAACTTAATTGTCTTTAAAGAAGAACCCAAGGATGCTACATCTTTTCTGAGCTCTTAGATATAACTATAACTTATGAGACAAAATAATGTCCTCCATTTAATACTAAAAGGAAGTGATTCTTAAGTACAAGTTTTATTATTAAGTCTCATAGTACAACTCTTTGGGGGCAGAAGTCTTGCACGGGAAGTTAGTGTATAGTGATTCTTGTTGTTTATTTAACAAATAACACTCTTAGCTCAACAAGGCCATAAGCCTTGTGGAAGTTCTCGCCTCCCTTCAGAGAAAAGTACATCCTTCTTTGGTGGCCACGTCTTTCCACTGGGGTCTCATTTGCAGGGGTCTCTAATGTAGAACATTTTTTGCCAGTGTCTTGGCTTTCCATGCCTGAAATGTTCCCTCTGGGCTTTCCAGCCAGACCCGAATGCCTTAAGGGCTGATTCTGAGATCAGAGTGCTGCTTAAAGCGATTATCATTCTATGAGTCTGCTGCATGGACTGCTTTGCATATTGTAGCCTTTACTCCTTTTTAATTCTGTTATTGTTTCCAAACACTTAGTCCTATTTATATAATCACTTTATCATTTGATCCTATCTATATGGTCACTTACCACTTAATCCTATCCATTTGATCTTTGTAACACTTAAGCTGATATTTTATTAGCCAGTTTAAGGGATTTTAGGGTCCTATGGCAAGTTCTTAAATTCCACTCTTTGAAGTAAGTCTGGAGGAAAGTATATAGGGCTCTACTACTTTATAGTTACAAACTTCATATGTTTCACAGTTACAACTTTAGGATCTTAGTAATTCTTCCCACCATACCTGCCCTCCCACCCATACTCCCACCCCACTTCCTCTTCCCCTTTTTATTCTCACTCTTATTCTTTACTAACACCTATTTTTAATTAACTTTATACATATATGTATAATCTATGTTAAGTATAAAGTTCTATGGTTCATATGAAAGAGAAAAAGGAAAATATTATAAAGGAAAAGATAAACAAAAATGTAGAATAAAAAGCTGTTCCTCAACAGTCAAGAGAGGGGCTGTTCAAAATCATTGCCTCTCAAAGTGTCAATTTCATTTCTACATGTTGCCTTTTAGGTGTTCTGTTAGTTATCACAGGTCAGGGAGAACATGTAGAATTTGTCCCTTTGGGACTGGCTTATTTCGCTAAGTATGATGTTTTCCAGTTTCAACCATTTTGTTACAAATGACCAGACTTTTTTTTTTTTTTTACTGCAGTGTAATATTCCATGGAGTACATGTACCATAATTTCTTTTTTTAAAATTTTTTTAAATTCTTTTTTTTTTTTTTTTTTTTTGACAGGCAGAGTTAGACAGTGAGAGATGAGAAAAGTCTTCCTTTGTCTGTTGGTTCACCCCCCAAGTGGCCGCTGCGGCTGGTGCGCTGTGCTGATCTGAAGCCAGGAGCCAGGTGCTTCCTCCTGGTCTCCCATGTGGTGCAGGGCCCAAGGACCTAGACCATCCTCCACTGCTTTCCTGGGCCACAGCAGAGAGCTGGCCTGGAGGAGGAGCAACCAGGACAGAATCCGGCGCCCCAACCAGGACTAGAACCCACGGTGCTGGCCCTGCAGGTGGAGAATTAGCCTAGTGAGCCGTGGTGCCGGCCCCCCATAATTTCTTTATCCAGTCTTCACTTGACAGGCAGTTGGGTTGATTCCATATCTTTGTTATTGTGAATTGAGCTGCAGTAAACATGGAGGTACAGATAGCTCTTTCATATGCTGATTTTATGTCCCTTGGGTAGATTCCCAGGAGTGGGGTAGCTGAGTCATATGTTAGGTCTGTGTTCAAACCTCTGAGGTATCTCCGCACTGTCTTCCATTAGTGGATTTACCAGTTTACATTCTCACCAATAGTGAATTAAGGTACCTTCTTCCTCACGTCCTTGCCAGCGTTTGTTGTTTATTGATTTCTGTGTGAAAGCCATTCTAATGGGGTTGAAGTAAAACCTCATTGTGGTTTTGATCTACATTTCTCTGACAGCTAGTGATCCTGAGCATTTTTTCACTTACTGTTGGCCATTTGGATTTCTTCTCTTGAAAAATACCTGTTTAAGTCCCTGTGTCCATTTCCTAACCAGATTGTTTTGTTGTTGTTTGGTTTCTTGATCTCTTTATATATTCTGGTTATTAATCCTTTATCAGTTGCATAGTTTGCAAATAATTTCTCTGATTCTGTCAGTTGTGTCCTCACTTTGCTGATTGTTTCTTTTGCAGTGCAGAAGCTTCTCAATTTGATGTAATCCTATTTGTCAATTATGGCTTTGATTACCTGTGCCTCTGTGCCTTTTCAAGAACTCTGTCTATGCCAGTGTCTTGTAGGGTTTCTCCAATGTTCTCTAATAATTTGATGGTGTCAGGTCATAGATTTAGGTCTTTAGTCCATTTTGAGTGGATTTTGTGTAAGGTAAAGGTCTCGCTTTATGCTTCTGCATGTGGCAATCCAGTTTTCCCAGCACATTTGTTGAAGAGACTGTCCTTGCTCCAGGGGTTGATTTTAGCTCCTTTGTTAAGATAAGTTAGTTGCATGTGCTTAGACTGATTTTAGGTGTTTCTATTCTGTTCCATTGGTCTATCCTGGTACCAGTACCAGGCTGTTTTGATTATAACTACATTGAATCTGTAAATTACTTTCAACAGTAAGGACATTTTGATGATGTTGATTCTTCCAATCCATGAACATGGAAGATTTTTCCATTTTTTAGTACCTTCTTCTATTTCTTTCTATAATGTTTTATGATTCTCATTGTAGAGATCTTTGACATCCTTGGTTAAATTTATTCCAAGGTATTTGATTTTTTGGTAGCTATTATGAATGCAATTGATCTTAGAAGCTCAGTCTCAGCTTTGGCATTGCTTTCCCAGCCCATAGCAGAGAGCTGGATTGGAAGTGGGGAAGCTGGGACATGGGATGCCGGCACTGCAGGCAGTGGCTTTATCTGCTATTCCACAGCACCAGCCTCTCTTCAATTTGTTAATGTGCTGTATCACATTGATTGATTTGCAAACGTTGAACTATCCCTGCATACCAGGGATAAATCTCACTTGGTCCATGTGAATGATCTTTCTGATGTGTTGTTGGATTCAGTTGACTCATGTTTTGTTGAGGATTTTTGAGTCAATGTTCATCAGAGAGATTGGTCTATAGTTCTCTGTCTCTTTCTTATCTTTCAGGTTTAGGAATTAAGGTGATGCCGGCTTCATAGAAAGAATTTTGGAGGATTTCCTCCCTTTTGCCTGATTTGAATAGCTTGAGAACAATTGGAGTTAGTTGTTTAAAAGTTTGGTAGAGTTCAGCAGTGAAGCCATCTGCTCCTGGGCTTTTCTTTGTTGGGAGGGTCTTCTTTACTGATTTGAGTTCTGTCTTGGTTATTGTCTGTTTAGGTTTTCTGTCTTCATTGCTTAATTTAGGTAGGTTGTATGTGTCCAGGAAACTATCCATTTCTTCTAGGCTTTCCGTTTTGTTGGCTTATGCTCGTTGTAGTAATTTCTGATGATTCTTTTTATTTCTGTGGTGTCTGTTGTTTCCTTTTTCATCTCTGATTTTATTGATTTGGGTCTTTTCCTCCTTTTTTCAGTTAGTTGGGTCAGTGGTGTATCAATTTTGTTTTGTTTTTTGTTTTTTTTTTTTAAAACCAGCTCTTCATTTTGCTAATCTCTTGTATTATTTTATTGATTTCAATTCTGTTGATTTCTTCTCTAATTTTAATTATTTCTTTTATCCTACTAGTTTTGGGTTTGGTTTGCTGTTGTTTTCCTAGGTCCTTGAGATGCATTGGTAGCTCGTTTATTCAGTGCTTCGGAAAAGAGGGCAGTCTCTCCTCCAGTGGCCACTCTTTATGCATTGGGGCGTTCCTTTTGGGAAGCTCTTGGAAGAGGACACTCTTTTTGCCAGTGGCTTGTCTATCCACATCTGAAACACCTTTCTGCCCTGGCAGGAGTCTCCCCAGGCTGACCCCAGGGTTGTTGCCAAGTGGGCAGACATCACAAGGACTTCCATCCTTACCAGAAGATGGACAGCAGACAATAGACTCCACCCCCAAGATGGCAGCTGTGGCCAGTCGCATGCATCATATCTGATTAATGGAGTGATTTTGGCTTTTTTTTTTTTTTTTTTCAGCTTTACACTGGTTCTCTTCGCCTCCTAGGAGTTGGTATCCCAGGCATGGCAGGCCTTCTGAGATGTCATCAGACCAGGCAGTGTTTTCTTTATATTTTTTGTTTTGGATGGTACTTTTGTTTGTTTGTTTTAATTTTAATTCATGCAATTGGATTCCTTGATTCCCCAAGTGTCTGCGACAGCCACGGCTGGGCCAGTAGCTCAATCCAAACCTCCTCCTGGGTAGCAGTACCTAAGCTGTCACCTGCCGCCTCCAAGGGTATGCATCATCAGGAAGCTAGGATCACAAGGAGAGCCAGGCTTGAACCCAGGCACTCTGACATGGGATACGAATGCTCCAAGCAGTACTTAAGCCCCTGCACCAAACTTTTTTTTTTCCGTTTTTAATAAAACGGAAAGATTTTCAGTTGACATATATTTTCATTACCTTGGTTTTTTACATTCTTAAGAATCTGGCTTTTTTATACTTTCACAAACACTCCAGTTGTGAGAGGCTTGTATCTGTCTTTGATCATTTTTTGCGATGTGTCTGATTCTAGGAACATCAACAGGGAGACCACAGTAAAGTTTGTGCACACCTCCGTCCACGGCGTGGGTCACGCCTTCGTGCAGTCGGCTTTCAAGGCTTTTGACCTTGTGCCCCCTGAGGCTGTTCCGGAGCAGAAAGATCCTGATCCTGAGTTTCCCACCGTGAAATACCCAAATCCTGAAGAGGGTCAAGGGGTCTTGGTAACAGGATTTTTTTGAACTATAAAATCCACCTTTTATATTCAAAATGATTACTGTCAAGTAAAATACGTTTTTATATATCCATTATGTTGCCGGAAAACTAACTTTGTCATTGGAAACATGTATTTGTTAGTCCTTGATTTCAAGTTAGTGTAGCATCAAGATATGAGAGCTGAAATCTAAATGGTTTCTTCGTTGAATTTAATTTCATTAAAATTTAATTTACTGTCCTTCTTTATTGCCAGAAAGAAAGAGTAATTGAAGGGAATTTTATTGTATTATGGTGGTTATTCCTTAATTGTCATTTCCCTAATAAGAAGTGTTTAAATGGTGGCTAAAGTAATACTGATATGCAAAGAATTAGTTTATTTTAGTTTGTTGATGAGGCTGAAATACTTGTCTGGCCGCACACGTGCTGTCACTGCTGGGCAGGTTCCGTGGGCGAGCACGGGCCACACACGGCGCTCCCATTCCCTGACTTCTAGCTGAGAAAGAGCATCTGAGCAATCAGAGCAGCCGCACCTGCTCCAGGAATAAAATTCAGCCTTCAGCCTAAAAACTAGTTAAGAACTGAATTAAAAAAAGAGATTTATTTATCAATTTATTTGAAAGGCAGAATGACAGAGGTGACAGAGACAGAGACACGAAGCGGGGTGGGGGGATAGAGATCGATCCTCTACTTCCTGGTTCATTCCTGAATGGCCACAAGAGCCAGATCTGGGGTAGGAGCCAGGATCTCCAGTCAGGTCTCCCATGTAGGTGACCAGGGCCAAAGTACTTGGGCCACCATCAGCTGACTTCCTAGACACATTTGCAGGAAACTGGAATGGAGGCAGAGTAGCTGGGACTCGAACCCACCCTCTGATATGGGATGCCGTTGTCACAAGCTGCAGCTTAACCTGCTGTTCCATAGGGAGATTACAATTGAAAATTGATCTTGATGAAGAATGGGATGGGAGAGGGAGTAGGAGATGGGAGGGTTGTGGGTGGGAGGGAGGTTATGGGGGAAAAAAGCCGCTATAATCCAAAAGTTGTACTTTGGAAATTTATATTTATTAAAATAAAAGTTAAAAAAAATAAAATAAATAAGAAAAAAAATTACACTACTCAGTCCATGATTTCAGTAATCTTTTATTTCATTCTCTTTTACAGACTTTATCCTTTGCTTTGGCTGACAAAACCAAGGCCAAAATCGTTTTAGCAAATGACCCAGATGCTGACAGACTGGCTGTGGCGGAGAAGCAAGACAGGTAACCTTAATTGTGATGGTGCATAGGAGAGAAAATATCGAGCTGACATCTTCAGCTGTAACATACTCCTGGGACACAGCACCCATATGGAAACATTTCCCATTTGTTTTGTGACCGATCATCCCACACAACCCCCTGTGGAGTGCTGTAGCAGAGCAAGATGCTGGAGAGTGGTTATCACGTGACTGGCAAGCGTAATACACAGTAAATCCACCCAGCATGTATTTGGAGTTGAAATTTCTATGTGTGCCCCTCCCTCGTTTCATAATTATTACAAATAATGTTCCCATGGCTAATGAGAGCAAAGTGCTTTGCACAGTGCTGGCTTTGCAGTTCGTTGTTGACTGATGGGTTTGATAAGGAGCTGGATCTTCAAGACAATGTTGAATTTAGGTTAAACTGACCAAGAGGAATACCTTTGGGGTATTGGTTCAATGTTTAAGACAAATTTGACCATAGAGTTTGTATAAAGGAGTAGTAAGGAAGTGGGAAAGAAAGTTGAAAACAGGCAGAGCCTGAGCCATTTGGGATGTCCAAGATGTCCAAGAGCACAGGTGATACTGTGGGGGCAGTGAAGTCCTACTGAAAGGCCAGGGTTTTAGATTATGATAAAACAGTTTGGCTTCTGTGTCAGCTTTTACAGAGTTAAGGTGGTCAGTGCTGCGATGCGGAGTTTACTTCTAGGCCCCTGGACTACAAAGAGGAACACACTTCATACATCTGTTCTCCGTTGTTCTGACAGTTTTAGGACTAAGCTTGATCTCAAAGAATGCTGAGCTGTCACTGTCTCAGAATTGGCAATACTGCCCAGACCCAAAACTGAAATGGGGGCAACCTGGGAACGTATTTCTGTTGATGTTTAAAGCCAATATTTGACATACTTGGTTTATGTGATCTCCAAAGACAGGATGTTTGTCTGGACACGCTGGCTGGTACACGGTAGCTACCTGAACATTTGAGAGGCCGCCCTTACACTTCTGGTCAGCGATTTGCACATGCTGAATAGCAAGAACATGCTCACAGAAACCACCTGGAGCCTTGTTTGCATCATCATCCTGTGCCAGTGCTTCTTAAAATCCCTGCGATGAATAGGTGTTTTTTTTCTTTCAGTGGTGAATGGAGAGTGTTTTCAGGCAATGAGCTGGGGGCCCTCCTGGGCTGGTGGCTGTTTACTTCTTGGAAAGAGAAGAAGCAAGATCACAGTGCCCTCAAAGACACGTACATGCTGTCCAGCACCGTGTCCTCCAAAATCCTGAGGGCCATTGCCTTGAAGGAGGGTTTTCATTTCGAGGTAAGGTATCCGAGCGTGCTCGTTTGTCTTCCTTCCCTTTGCTCTGTGGAAGGGCTGAGACCTGTCTTTTCTTTCACATGCTCTCTTTAGGAAACACTCACTGGCTTTAAGTGGATGGGAAACAGAGCCAAGCAGCTAGCAGACCAGGGGAAAACTGTGTTATTTGCATTTGAAGAAGCTATCGGTAAGAAGCAAAAATGAAGATCATAGAATCGATTAATATAGAGAATGTAAGTAGACTTGGAAAAGCCTTAGATTCAGGTGCAGAAGATCAGGAGTGAAACAGAAACACGTGGGTTACTTTGGTTCTCCATGCTTGGGTGCAGTATTGAATTGTCCTATTCCAAAACTGGTGTCTGGAAATTTTCCAGCAAAGAGGAGTATCTTGCAAATGATCAGGCCATCCGCTAATGACTAAAGACAGTGGCATTCTGCACGTGGCCTCTGGCAGCTTGAGAATCCACGTACTTTGGGAGCTGTGATGTTTCTTCAACTGTGGTGTTTGCGCTTCAGACCCGCCTCCACACGTGCTAGTAGGACCTGTGCTGAGGTCTGTCCAGGAGGAAGCAGAAGGCAAGGTTGTGCAGCTCTCATGAAGCAGAGGTCGCCCAAAAGGCTGACCCAAGTCCAGCCAGAAGGGTGCCTATCCTGAACCGTTGGTCACAAATGAGCAGAAAGGAGAACTAGCTATAAAAATCTGAAATTCACACATTTGAATCCAAATATTTTAGGTGTTAATTTTGCAAAACTATTACACATTAAGTTATTTACATACATTTGTATATTTCCTCAATGAAGTGAATGTGATGATTAGATTGTTTTACAAATAAAACTTGCGGATGGATTTGTAATTGGAAATCATACAAAACAAAATATGAACTAGCTTACAAACATCAATGTAAGATGTTTTAGCAAACCTATCTGTGTTGTATTCATTAAGCAACATAAATATTTTAAAGAGATTTATAAATTACACATGTAACTTAGATAAACATCTATATAATTCTGTTTTACAAAAGTTGAATATTATTATGCTACTTCCTATGAAAAATGCACAGCCATCTTTCTTTTAATGGAGCAAATGAGGCGAAATCGCTCAACGTTCGCTCTTTTGTTGTCAGATTTCCTGTACTCATCTTCCATTTTTATTTAGAATTTTTTCCCTGTGTTTTTTATCAGATATTAATTGCAAATCCATTATTCAGTGACTGTGAAAGAAATGGGTGACAGTGAACTTAGCTTATGGTAGCTTGTGTAGGTCTAGTTAAGTAACCACAGAAAGTGTCTAGACCAGGGATCTAGTCAGGTGACCACCAAGAATGATTGGGACTCAAAGATGAAAGAGCTGTTTGTTGACTGGAACCATGAGAAACAGTTTCATGTGGGCTGGAGGGACTTGCAGAGAATCTAGAGAACACAGGGGAAACAGTCTCCTCACAGGTGATTCAACAAGTACTTCTTGAAGGCCTCCTTCGTGTTAGGCACTGAGCTAAATAGAAAACATGCCAGTATTCAAAACTGTACCACCTGTACTGGGACATAGCGGGGATGTGGCAAAGGAACCCATCCTAAGGATGTCTGTGTGGCATTGTTTCTGCAGGATACATGTGCTGCCCTTTTGTTCTGGACAAGGATGGAGTCAGTGCCGCTGTCATAAGCGCAGAGCTGGCCAGCTTTCTAGCAACCAAGAATTTGTCTTTGTCTCAGCAGCTAAAAGCCATCTATGTGGAGTAAGTTTGTGTTGACTGATTGAAGTCATGTTTTTAATGTTTGCTCATGTTCTCGTGCGTGTGATACTAGTCTTTCTAATGTTCTTACTTTGGTGGTGAATCTATTTCTCATTAAAATGAAGAGATCATCATTTGCTTTTGATACTGAACCACATATTAATAATTGCCACTCACAGTGACATTAATTCTTAACATTAAGACTCTTACTTGTAGAAATGGCTGTTTGAAAAATGTGATTTTTAATGTGCATTGTCACAAAAGATGAATTGCATTGATAACACATCGGTTCAGTCTTTGGAGCAAGTACTCAGCTCTGCCTCAGTCGCACTAAGGCAGCCAGGCACATCACAGAAAGTTACAGGTTTGATGTGGCTGTGTTCTAATGAAACTTTGACTTGCAGACCTGGACACCCATTTGACAGCCATTTGTCAATCCCTGGGGTAGATTGTTGGACCTTTTTTTTAATGCTGAGGTATTTCTTTAAAATAATAAATAGTTATTTGTTTCATTGATTTTTTTGTTATGTTGGTTGATACATGTCCTATGTATACACTACAGAATTATTTGTCCTTCATTTTACATGAATTTGTATTTTTTGATAGGTATGGCTACCATATTACAAAAGCTTCATATTTTATCTGCCATGATCCAGGCACCATTAAAAAATTATTTGAAAACCTTAGAAACTATGATGGGAAGAATAATTATCCAAAAACTTGTGGCAAATTTGAAATTTCTGCCATTAGGGACCTTACGACTGGCTATGATGATAGCCAATCTGATAAAAAAGCTGTAAGTAATGTTCACTTTCTCAACTAAAATCTTTTCTATTTACCATTGCAAATAATTTGAATAGGTTAACATTTAATCTTAGAAGTACTGGATGCTGATTTTAGGCATAATTATAATGAGATATAAAATACATGAAAAATTAAAAACCATGGACTAGCAGGTAAAAGGATCTCCCTTGTCCTCTGAGCTGATACTGTCGCTTGACACATAGGGGAGGCAAACCTCGGAAGCGTGGGGCCTGTCTGTGTCACACATGAGGCTGGTGATGCTCTGGGGAGAACCTGGCTGACGTGAATGGTGTCAGAGTTCTACAGAGGGCTGGTGGAAACACCAAGGAAACACAGTGCCTGAGCCAAGCTGGAGTTTCGGATGGAGTGGGTCTGGGGTGGGGGCTGAGCACTGGTGTTGCTGTGCCTAGGTGACTGTTCACCCTTTGAGAACCACTCTTTACTTTCTAGCTGGTTGTACCCGGCTCTCTGTACATAAGGGAGCTGTTAGGTATAAAGTGTGGGTGTGCGTTCATCACGCATCATGGATCCCCCATGGCAGTCAAAAGAAGACCCAGGGGCTGGCATTTGATGTAGCCATTAAGCCATGGGTTGGGCACCTGCATCCCATATCCAGGACCTGGGTTTGAGTCCCAGCTCTGTTCCTGATCTTTAGCTTCCTACTAATGTAGACCCTGGGAGACAGCAGGTGATGGCTCAAGTAACTGAATCCCTGCCATCCATGCAGGAGACCCTGTTGGAGTTCTGGACTCCTTGCTTTGGCCTGGCTTCTTGTATGGGCATTTGGGAACTAAACCAGTGGATGGGAGTTCTTGGTCTGTATCTCTGTCTTTGTCTTTCTCTGTCTCCACCTTTCAAATCAATACATCAGTAAGTTAAACTTGAAAGAAGAAGAACTGAGGGTAGCAGAAGAGTGTTTCTGACCAGGCAGTGGGTAGAGGCGGAACCTCCCCAAGAGAGGTTAGACCTGCTCGGTGATGTTCACCACTTTTGATTTTTTATTTTCATCTGCACATGGTATATTTTGACACATAAATAGTATTATGGGGGCTAGGGTGAAGCAAGTGCCCACACCCACTGCAGCTGGTTGCACCTGTTTCTCAGAGTGTTTATTTACCTGCTAGCTTCTAAATGATGTGTCCACATTGACCTTCCCTGTGTTAGAGTTCTTTCACTTATTGTCATGGAAATAAGAATTTGGATCTTAACACCTACACCCAGTATTCTCCCCACCCCTCAACCCCCTCCCCATCCTCACAACACCTGCATACCACAGCTTTTAGCTCAATAAGATTCTGAGCTTTTATTCTTATGACTAGTAAGTATTGTGGGCTGCTTAGCTAGGTAGTATATTTTAATTAGGTTTACCTATTTGTATAAGGAATCATATTTCTTGTAATTAATGATTGCTTTGTTCTTTTGGTTGGATTTTTTTTAAGTTTATTTATTTATTTATTTAAAAGGCAGAATGTCAGAGAGAGAGTGAGAGAGAGAGTTCTTCCATTCACTGGTTCATTCCTCAAATGTCCATAAGAGCCAGGGCTGGGCCAGGCCAAAACCAGAAGCTAGGAACTCCATCCTGGTCTCTCTTATGAGTGGAAGGACCCAAGCACATGGGTTATCATCCACTGCTTTCCCAGGTGCATTAGCAGGAAACCAGATCAGAAGCAGCACAGTGGGGACTTGAACCAGCACTCCAACATGGGATGTTGTCATTGCAAGCAGCGCACTAGTGTGCTACACCTCGATGCCAGCCCCGGCCTGGAGTTTTATGTAACTGTCACCACCTCTCCCCAGATCTGTCAAATACCTCTCAGTAGAGTTCTCCAGGTGGTCCAAGGATTCAGCCGTTCTGTCGGCTCCACTTGTTCCCAGCGGCCTCCTTTCTGGCACCTCTTCCAGGCAGGAGCAGCTGCTGTTTGGTTTGGGTGCACAGTTGTCGTCCTGGGCAGGCTGTTGCCAGGGTCCAAGCCCTCGCGTCTGACCTCATGACTTCCTCTCTCTATATTTACTTTCCTAGATCCCATCCTCTCGTCAGTTTCCGAGAAAGTGAATAGGAGGTAAAGTCTGGGAGGAAAAATGTTGGAATCTGGTCTTTATCGGACTCGTTATGTGCCCATGGTTCTGAAAGCCTTGCTGTGTGTTGGTGGAGCTTCCACCTGCTGCGCTGAGCCTCCAGTCAGTCACTCAGTGCACAGCTGAAGCCCAGCTGCCCTACTTAGCCGTCTCCATGCAACTTGTTTCTTTTCACTCTTGAGATTTTAGGACATTTTTCTGTAAACTTCAGGTTCTAAAATTGTAGTGTTATGTATTAGTATGGGTCTGTTTTTATTTGGTTTTCTGGGGTCTTTTTTTTTTTTTTTTTGAGGTTCTGAGTATGTTTTTGTGCGTTGGGGAAGGGCGCTGGTTAGTTATTTTTGTAAATCACCTGCCCTCTGTCTTCTGTCCTCCTGTCTTGAGGAGCTCTTAGAGGCTCCTCTGTAGCCTGTTGACCTGTTGTCCTTGCCTTTCTTCTCTGTCCTCCGTCTCAGTCTTCCTTTTCTACATTCGGGGAGATTTCCACAACGTTGACTTCCAGGGCTTCTATTGAACGTGTTTCAGCTCTTTCTTGTAAATGGCAGGCTCTTCTTGTTTTATACATAGCACAGCTTCTCTCTCCAAGGATATTAGTGATAGTTTAAAAAAATACATCTTCTTTTTCCTCCTGTATGTATTTCTTCCAAGTTCTTTTTTTTTTTTTTTTTTCCTATTTGTTTTGGATTTTGTTTCTTATCCAATGTCTTTCCCTGGAAGTCTACTGATCCTTAACTACCCTTTAGGTACCTAAAAGTTCATTGAGGGTGCAGGCTTTTAGCCTAACAGTTAGGGTATCAGTTAAGACACCCATGTGCCACACTGGAGAGCCTGATTTGAAACCCAGGTCTGGCTCCTAACTTCAGCTTCCTGCTAACGCAGACCTGGAAGGCAGCAGTAATCGCTCATATGATTGAGTTTCTGCCACTCTAGTGGGAGACCAGGATTGAATTCTGAGCTTGCAGCTTTGGTCCCAGAAGGGGGCCATTGTGGGCATGGGAATGAGTCAGTGAATGAAAGTGTGTGTGTGTGTGTGTGTGTGTGTGTGTGCCTCCTAAATAAATTAACTTTAAAAAGGATTGTTCCTAAAAGTTGATTGGAAGCTGTGTAGATACGTGCGGGTCAAATGCCATACTTCCAGGGATATTGAGTAGTGTATCAGTCAGTTTTCCACAACTGTATTGAAATACCTTTTTAAGGGAAAGAGTTGTTCAGCTCACTGTCCAAAGCATGGCACAGACTCTGGTGCAGGCCCCCCAGCTGCGTCCCATCATAGCACATGGCCTTGTGGTAGGAGCTTGTTCGAGAGAGATTGCGTGGTGAGACAGGAAGCTGGAGAGCAATCCAGGGGTCAGACTCTCCCTTTTATAAGCAGCCTCTTGCAAGGACTGACCAGGGTCCCACAGGAGTACATCAGTTTTTCCAAAGGCAGTGACTTAATGACTCCCACCTGTTAAGGATCTACCACCTCCCAGCACCCCTGTGCTAAGGACCAGGCTTTCATTATATGTGCCCTGGGGGACAAAGCACATCCAAACCACAGCAGTTACAAGTCAGCATTTTTATGGGGGACCCCTATCTTGGGCTCTTTAGCTTCTCAAGTGAAGCCTAAACTGGTTTGTCTGGGGGCTGTAAGTTCAGACACTTCAGCCCTGAAAACACGGCAGGAGCAGAGCCAAGGCTCTCAGCCCCGGGGCTGTCGTCTGATCTGCCTTTTCATAATCCCCTACCTTCCATGGAGCCTGGTGCTCCCAACTCTTGAACCTTTCTGGTTCCGTCTCCAGAGGAAGGATGATCCAAGTCCTTGGGCCCTGCATTCACATGGGAGACCCGGAAGAAGCTCCTGGCTTCTGGCTTCAAATCGTCCCAGCTTTGGCCGTTGTGGCCATCTGGGGAGTGAACCAGCGGACGGAAGATCTCTCTGTCTCTGTCTCTCTCTATCTGCCTCTTTCTCTGTAACTCTGCCTTTCAAATAAAATAAATCAATCGTTAAAGGAAAAAATAGTCTTCCTGTAATTTTAGTGGGGCAAATACATCTTCCAGAAGCTTTATCTGAAAAAAAAAAAAAAAGGACAAATGAATCAACTCCATAGGCACTTTTTGGGGGCAGAGTTTCCCTTAGCAACAATGAAATGTGATCTCATTTGTGTGTGGTTAGTACAATATTAATCCATTTAAATTAATTTCTTATGAAATGTGTTTTAATCAAATAAAACTTTGGTAATTATAATAAAACTAGGGAGGTAAAAAGCTAATATATAAAGTTACTTCTTTTTAATTCCTTTTTTAAAAGATTTATTTATTTGAAAGGCAAAGTGACGAGAGAGAGAGAAGACAGAGAGAGAAATCTTCCATTTGTTGGTTCACTCGCCAAATGGCCGCAGCAGATTTGGGCCAGGCCAAAGTCAAGAGCCAGGAACTCCATCCTGGTCTGTCACATGGGTGGCAGGGACCTAAGTACTTGGGCCAGCTTCACCTTCTCAGGTACATTAACAGGAAGCTGGATGGAAGCAGAGCAGCCAGGACTCAAACAAGCACTCAATATGGGATGCTGGCATTGCAGGTAGCAGCTTCTCTATCCCACTGCACACAGTGCTGGCCCTGAGGTTGCTTAATTTTCATAAATTATTAGCATTTAGTGTCTCATTCCCATGGAGTACACTTTCTGCTTTGTTTCGCTTCTTTTTAACCAATATTTGGGGCACTTATTTTCTTATCAGGGAAAAATTAGGCCAGAACAATTTACAATTTACATTACAATTTAAAATTATAGTATATGGGATGGGGTGTGGCACAGCCATTAAGACAGGACAGGATGCTCCTGTCTCATATCAGGGATTGAGAGCGATTGGATTTGAGTCCCGTCTCTGGCTCCTGACTGCAGCTTCCTGATGGCTCAAGTAGTTAGGTCCTTACTGCCCACGTGAGAGACCGGATTTGGTTCCTGGCTTTGGGGGATGAACCAGCAGATGGGAGTCTCGCTCTTTCTCATCTCTCTTTCAGGAGTAGAAAATTTTAAAAGTGAAATCACAATGTGTATCATCTATTCTTAGGTCCTTCCGACCAGCAAAAGCAGCCAAATGATCACCTTTACCTTTGCTAATGGAGGCGTGGCCACCATGAGGACCAGCGGGACAGAACCCAAAATCAAGTACTACGCAGAGCTGTGCGCCCCTCCTGGAAACAGGTATGGTGTGCAAGGCAGCTGCTGTGACATTTGCTTCTCTGGGCTCTCTAGTTGGCTCAGTAAAATGCTCCAGCGTGCCAGGGCGTTCCAGCATGCGAGGGTGCCATGTAGTTAGAAGTGCTGTCCCTGGGCCTGTGGCAGATGCGGTGAGAGTGGGTGCTTCTCACCTCCCTCCCTCCTAACGTTCTTTGTATGGGAAAATTGCCTTCCTAGTTCCAGTAATAGTGATAGCGCTTATGTTTTCTAAGTACTTTTTGTTGGTGTTCAGCACCAGTGAATTTTTCTCTTTCTCTCCTGCATAAAGGGGCAGGCATTTAAGCTATCACCGAACACACTAGGTGAGACACCCACCTCCCGTGTTGTTACCTGCCTCTGGCTGTTAATTCCACTTGCCTGTTAACATGCACTCTGGGAGGCAGCAGGTGGTAGGTCAAGTACTTGGGTCTCTGCCACCCATGTGGGAGACCTAGAGCTCTCCACTACCTGCATCAGCCTTGCCCAGCCATAGGCATGTTAGGGAGTGAACCAGCAAATGGGAAGTATATGTGTCTCTATGTCTCATTCTCTGTCTCTCTCTCTCTCTCCATATATGTTTGTCTTTCACTTTCTGCTTCTGAAATAATGTTTTGAAAAAAGAAAATCCAGGGGCTGGTGCTGTGGTGCAATAGATTAAGCCTCTGCCTGCAGCCTCGGCATCCCATATGGGTGCCAGTTCATGTCCCAGCTGCTCCTCTTCCAATCCAGCTCCTTGCTATTGCCTGGGAAAACAGCAAAAGATGGCCCAAGTGCTTGGGCCCCTGCACCCACTTGGGAGACCTGGAGGAAGCTCCTGGCTCCGAATTTCAGATCAGTTCAGCTCTGACCATTTTATCCATTTGGGGATTGGAGCAGTGGATGGAGGACCTCTTTCACTGCCTCTCCCTCTCTCTGTAACTCTGCCTTTCAAATAAATAAATAAATCTCTTAAAAAAAATCCATTCCACATGACTTCAGCAAATATCTTTGAGTACCAGCACAGCTCTGAGCTGGATCTCAGGGAGGAGAAAGAATCACATCAGAAATAGGCCCTGCCTGCAGGAGCTGATGGGCTGGTGGCCTCTGGGTCATGTTTCTGTGGCTTTGGCAAAGAGTTTGAGTTGGTCACCCTCCAACAACCATACCCTTTTGAACTATAACAGCCTTAGTGCATGTCCTTAGCATGCATAAATGTGATATTGCAAACCTGTCTGATACACAGCCCTAATCAGAATACAGTTAAGGATCAGGAAAAAAAAATTCTTTAAGGTGAATTAAGTTCAGTGCTCTCCAGTAGAAAAAAGTGTGAAATTTTCTGCTAGTCACATTTTAAAACAGAAGAAAGAGCTGAAACAATTTTTAATAATCTATTTTATTTGACTTAGACTATGCAAAAAATTATCATTAAAATATATGGTGCATGTAAAATTTCTTAATGAAATATTTTGCATTCTTTTGTTTCTAAGGGAAGAAACTTCTTCAAAGTCTTTAGTATCTACTCCAGAATGTACTCTTTTAAAAATATATTTATTTATTTGTTTATTTGAGAGGTAGAGTTACAGACAGGGAGAGGCAGAGGCAGAGAGAGGTCTTCCATCCGCTGGTTCACTCCCCAAATGGCCTCAATGGCTGGAGATTGGCCAATCTAAAGCCAAAAACCAGGAGCTTCCTCCAGGACTCCCACGTGGGTGCAGAGACCCAAGCACTTGGGCCATCTTCTGCTGCTTCCCTAGGCCATAACAGAGAGCTGGATTGATAGAGGAGCAGCCAGGACATGAACCGGCACCCATATGGGATGTAGGCTTAGCCTACTAAGGGGGCCATAGCACCAACCCCTCCAGAATATGTCTCAATTTGAATGGTAAATTTATATTGGATATACCTGATCTGTATTTAGGTTTCATAAAGTTTACAGTAGAAAAAGTAGATTTTGATATTCAAATTGTTCCAAACATACTGCAGTTTTCCAAGAAATGAATTAAGTATTTTTTATTTGAATTCCCATTAACTTGACTTAAACAAAATTAAAAATTCATTTCCTTGGATGCACCAGCCATATTTTCAGGTACTCAGTAGCCACATGTGGCCATGTGGCTCATGGCTGTGGTAGCTGCCAGCACCAGTATAGGCAATTGCCACAACATATCCAGACCAAAGCCTTGCTCATAGAAGGGTTTTCACACTTTGTGAATAACATTTGCATTATGAATACATGGGATTGGAAGCAGAAGAACATTTCTGAGCGTCTTGTTAGGGGAATGAACCAACAGGTAGAAGATCAATATTCCTCCCTCCCAATCTGCTTTCAAATAAATAAAGCTTTAAAAAATATGTGTTAATAGTGTGTTTATATCATGGATTTCATGTATTCATAGAATTCTACCATCACTTAGAATGGAAAATCCTTTTCAAGGGTAAGCCTGCTTTTCAGAAATATTTCTGTTGGGAGAGATGTCTTTAGTTTTGTCGAACTCTTTATTTGGGAAAATTTCAAACCTGCAGGTATACTGAAATAATAGTGCAGTGAATATCCATGTACCTTTCACCTACATCAGCAATCAGCAAGTGTTTTCTGTAAAGAACGAGGTAGTAAGTATCTTACTAAGTGTTGCAGGCCATGTGCTTTCTGGTTGTAGTGTGAAAGTATCTCAAGTTACTAGATATGATTGTATCAAGGCAGGGTTCCCTCCCACCAAGAAACAAACCGGAAGAATGTGTTTGGAGAAAAGTTGGTTGCAAGGAATTGGCTTGTGCCCTAGGGGGCAGGATGGAGGGAGGGGCTGGCTAAGTGAGTCTGGAATCCCAAGGGCAGGCTGGACTTTCTCAGGCATGGGTGGAAGTTGCCAGAAACCCATGGAATTATTCTTCAGGAAAACCTTAATGCCTTGCAAATACAGTCTGGCCTATCTGGATTGCCTATTATAAAGTCTACTGATTATACACATTTTTCACATCTCCAAAAATAGCTTCATAGCAGCACCAGGGTTAGCATTTGAATACCTGAGGACCAGGACTTAGCCAAAGAGACACACATTCAGGCTTGCCAGAGGGTTTCCAAAACAGCCCATTTTCTCGGGATCCAGGAGGAAGTTGAGATCCCTGAATTAAAATTAGTTGCTGTTTATTTAGTGTAAGTGGTTTTTCCTGATGAATGCAGAAAAACAACTGCCTAATTATATTTGATACTTGCTCTGCATTTCCATAAAAAGATCTGCCTAGGCTCAGACATTTCAGAAACAAGAATTCCTAACCTTGGTTTGTGGGATGCAGCCTGGTGTTTTTTAAAAAATTAAATGAAATGTTCTCAAACTTTATTTTTAAAAAATGAACCTCTAACAACTAGGATGGGGACTAGTAAGACAAAAACTTTGGTTTTAGGAGTTCTTGCCCCACAGAACGTTAGTAGTACTGATTTTGTTCTGCACGTAAGAAACTCAATGCCAGCAACATTAAGTCAATGTGTAAATGAATCATTATGTGTATGCCATGGTTAAAAACTGGACTCAATTAATAAGTAAGTAAATAATTAGCATATTCACAGGGTTTTAGTTTCAGGTATACTTTTCTTTAAAAAATGTGCTTTCTTTTTTCTTCAGTGCACACTCGTGGAAAAGGGACAAAGAGTATAATTCATATGTCTTTATGAAGCATGATTATTTTACATATTTCCAATAAGAATAAAATAATTATAGCAAAAGCTGCACTTTTTGAGGTCTTTGAGCCTGGTTCTGGGCTAATTACTTTATAGAAAGTATCTTGACCCTCTTGAGAAGGTAAAGTCTCTATCTCAGTTTTCAGGCAAGGAATCTGGGCCTTGGAGAAGCTTAGCCATTTGCTCAAGGGCTCATAGTAAATAGAAGAGGCGAAATCAGTGTCTGATTTCTTTGTACTGTTTAGCTATTCCATTGTAAAAAATGATCTTAACTAATGACAGAGACGGCGTTTCCATAAAAATAAGCTTGGCATATATTAAAGATGATTGAGTATGACGGCTCTAAATTCAGCTTTTCAGTTTTAAATACTTAAAGTAGCTCACACAGGTTGCTGGAAATTCAGTTTTATCTATTATTAACCTTCTAATTGTTTTCATGCAAATGAATGTTTCCCACATCCTTGAAAAGGTTAATTTTCTTAGAGGAATCTATATCCCTAAATTTGTCCTTTTTTTAAAAAAAAACTAAAGGTACAAAGTTTTATCAACTACTTTGTATCATATACTAATATAATCATTTTAAATCTCCTTTAATTTAAATTTTATTTTATTTATTTGAAAGACAGAGTTCCAGAGGTAGAGACAGAGAGAGGTCTTCCATCTGCTGGTTCACTCCCCAGATAGCCACAACAGCCAGAGCTGAGCTGATCTGAAACAAGGAGCTAGGAGCTTGTTCCAGGTCTCCCACATGGGCACAGGGGCCCAAAGACTTGGGTCATTCTCCGCTGCTTTCTAAGGTGCATTAGCAGGGAGCTGGAACAGAAGTGAAGCAGCTGGGACTTGAACCAGTGCCCAAATGAGATGCCGTCACTGCAGGCCAGGCTTTAACCCATTGTGCCACAGCACCGGCCCCTTCTCTCTTTTTTTTTTTTTTTTTTTTTTTTTTTTTTTTTGACAGGCAGAGTTAGACAGAGAGAGACAGAGAGAAAGGTCTTCCTTCCGTTGATTCAACCCCAAGTGGCCGCCACGGCCGGCGCGCTGTGCAGATCTGAAGCCAGGAGCCAGGTGCTTCCTCCTGGTCTCCCATGCGGGTGCCGGGTCCAAGGACTTGGACCATCCTCCACTGCACTCCTGGCTCACAGCAGAGAGCTGGACTGGAAGAGGAGCAACCGGGACAGAATCCTGCACCCCAACTGGAACTAGAACCCGGGGTGCCGGCGCCGCAGGTGGAGGATTAGCCTAGTGAGCCACCTTTTATGGAGTACACTGTGAAGTTTAAGTACCTTTAAATATTGTATAATGATCTACTCAGGATATTTAGATTACCCAACATCTCAAACATTTGCCATTTCTTTGTGATGAGAACACTCAGGTTGTTCTCCTCTAGCTGTTTTATATTTTACACCCCTCTGTTAACGACACCAAAACATGTTTCTCCTGTTTGGCTGTGACTTTGTACCTTAGATTCTTGTTTGTTCTAGAGGCATAGTAATGAAGAATAAAACCCAGGGGACTGACTTCCTGGCTTCTGAGCCCCCTGGCAGGCTCCCAGCTCTGGCCACCCTAGGTGGGCCTCATCCACAGGGCTCAAGCTTGGCTTCCAACAGTCTCGGGGCAAGCATCATCAGGAGCGTTCATGTCCTGGATGACTGAGGACTTAACAGGAGATGTTCTTTGCAAAAACTTAGCAGAATTTCATGGAGTCAGGAAAGTTTTCTCTGCACTATTAGGTACAAACATTGTAGATCTTTCAGGAATGCTAGGCCAAAAATTGTGTTTCTTAAAACTTCTCATGAATAGAACAAGAGCTGACTTTGTTTATATAGTTAAGACCTCGGGAAACCCTTTGGGGAAAATCATGCATATTATCTCATGAGGTTTGGTCTAAGTCAGCAGATGTGTTCCCAAGCTTGAGTTGCTGGAGTTCTGCTCTGTTCCCACGTGGGCCCTCTCCGAAGTGTGAACGTCAGTGTTCTTGCTCTCTTGTGGGGGCATTTAAATGTGCTTTGGAATAATTCACTGATCTGGATTTTTTTTTTCTCTTGTTTTCCAGTGACCCAGAGCAGTTGAAGAAAGAACTAAATGAACTAGTCGACGCCATTGAAGAACATTTTTTCCAGCCACAAAAGTATAATCTGCAGCCAAAGGCAGAATAAACTATTCCAGCCTTGGGCATAAGTACATTTATCTCCAATCAAGCACAACCTGATAAGGAGTAGTTTTGAGGGCTGAATGATTCAAATTATCACTATTAGTATTTATATCTTTTAGACAGATCTGTATTACTCATTGTCTTAGTTTGATCTTTAAGGTTAATAAAAGAGCAAAACCTAACAAACCAACATTCCTTTAAAAATGTTGAGCAAGGACTTATCTGAATTTTTCAAAATAACTTTCAAAAATAGGTCAAATTAATATGCCTTAACTTACGTAAATGGCTGTCTTCCCTGTAGCTCTTCTTCTGTATAGTTGAGATAGAAAATCTGTATGATTACTAAACTCCGAACTGTCATGTGTAGGATTGCCACGTTTTAGGTATATTTACTTTGCTGTTTCCATCAGTTCCTTAGGAGCCAAAAGAAATGAACAGATCAAATGTGTTCATGTTCAGGGAAAAGGTAGTTCCTAGGAACATGTAAAGTGGAGCAAAAGATAATTTAAAACAGTAACTCTGAGCTCTAACGTTTTGTTCTAATCATATGCCACTGTGCGCTACACATGTGGTAGGAGAAGCAGCTTCACTGCGGTTTACTTGTTGATACTCATTTTCTCTCTTTAAATCTTGGGAACCAAACAGTGATTTGTAGTTCGGGAAGTCGTTTATCTGTTCAGTTTTTTTGCTTAAGCACAATGTAGTGTAGTTCTCGGACGTGAGCAGTTACTACTCGCTTCACTCTGAATTTGTCACATTGTTCTTCTGTGATGGGAAATGTAGACTGCCTTTTCCACGCCTGTCTTTCAATCTGTGCCTTTTCCTCATGGTTCATTGCCATACAGCCTTTCAGAGCGACTCCCGTGGCCGTGAGCTAGGAGCAAACTGTGCCTTGTACATTTATGTATTTTCCATCCATTTCTACTTTTAACGTGAGTGATTGCCATTTTATTATTACAATCAAGCCAAATGTTTATTAACAGTTCTGGAATAATAGAAAATCACAGTCCTATTGGCAATCTTTTTTCTAAAGTGAAGGGAAAAGTGGTTTTCTATCTTAATGATACGCAATTTGTGTCCTGCCAGAAGTGTCAAGCCTACAAGAGCCAGTATTTTCTATCAGCTCCTCCTGGAGAAGCCATATTTATTTTTATTTAAAATGCTTTCTAGTCTTAAACTGTACTCTGGCAAAAAGAGATGTTAGATCTGTGTCCTCTACGGATCTTTTTTAAGCATGTACCCCATATCCCATCACAGAGTTTATTTCTAGAAATACAGAAAGACCCATCCTATCATGCTGGAATTCAGGGTCTAATTGCTGGGCCAGTAGTAGCAATAATACTCACAAATTTTGTACTAGAGATATTTGCAAGCGTGTGGGGAGGGATTCATTCTGGCCAGAGGATGCCTCATAGCCTAGGGTGAGGTTGCCCTCATTCAGCATCAGGGGCGGGTAGCAGCTGAGGATGGAGCAGTCTCCCAAGCATGGAGCCCAGCATTAAGAGCAGTGCACAGGTGCACGCAGATGAGGGTTTAGGGCAGGGGGAGATGATGAAGGCAGAGCCCAGAATATACTTCTGGATGTACCCCACCTCTCTGCCATGCATAGGAGCAGACAACTCCACTGGACCTAGAGGGGATTCCCTCTACCCCAAAGCTGTTTCTCACCCACATTCCTAAGAAAGAGCATGCCATGAGTGCCCGTTAACCATTTTTTAATGTCTGCTTGTTATGGGATATGGGGGTAGCACTGGGTGGTGCATCAGCTCACAACACTAAGGCCCCTGGGTTTTATTCAGTTGAATCTGTGACCTTGATTAAATCTCAACCTCTCAAAACCTCAATTTTGTCTTTTGTTTCAAAGACTTTTTTAGGGCAGTTACAGTTTCACAGCAGAATTGAAAGATACAGAGCTATTCCATACACCCCTGTGTCCCCCACTTTACCACTGCAACCCACTAGAGGATACACGTGTTACAGTTGCTGACCCAGCACCCACCATTGTCCCCCAAACCATGGAGACAAGAAGAAGATCTGTGGTTTGAGGCATGGAGAGGGATGAGTAGGCAGAGAACCTAGAACACTCTGGGTGACACCGTGATGACGAGCACTTGCTTTGTGCAATTGTTCAGACCCATACAATGTACAACACTAATAGCCTGACATAAACTGTGGGCTTCGGGTGATGTTTTGGCATTTTTTTTTTTAATAAATGTTTCTCAGTGACCTCTGAGGTCATTTCACACTGTGGGTCTTTAAGTGATGGAGTGATAAGGGGCATGATCACCAATGCATTGCTGACATCTGGCAGAATGCTCTTGGAAGCCCTGACATCTCAGGTAGGTACCAACGAGGGCAGCCTTGTGTGCTATCCTGCCTGGGCTGCAGCCTGAAGGGGGTGAGTGCCGAGGCTGAAGCCAAGCGAGACAGGACTGCATGACACACAGGTGCCGGGGAAGGCCCTGTGCCGGGAGCAAGGCCGAGTCCCCGGCCGTGGTGAGGACGGAGACCTGGCACAGTGGCCCACTGTGCCTCCTCATCGCTCACCCTGCCTAGCGATGCCTCCGATGTGAGTGTAGAGGTGACCAAGTCCCGCGTCTGAGAGACTGACTTGTAGAGGGACACACAGGCCAGCTGTTCTAGCTGCTCTTCGTTGTGGTCTCTGAAATATCAGCTGTCCCTCCTTCCTCCAAGAAACACAGGGAGTGTCAGTTATTTACTCAGTCATGGTGCTTAAAAGGGAAAGCATCGTTATTTCATTCATACTGGAAGTCCACGTGGCTTTAAAAGTAAGTGCTTTAAGTGGCAGAACGTGCGCACGTGTGCGTCCTGCTTTGAAGGGACTTTGGAAGGGTGGCATCTGCCCTGCATGTGTGATCTCCACATCCCGAGATGCCACCCTCCCAGGGATTTGCGCGTTCGTTCCACGCTCACCCAGGGAGCCACGTTTGACTCCAGCTGAGAGCAGGGCTCCTTTCTGGGTGCTGGTGGTAAACGTGCAGCTCTGATCGCGTGCGTGGTCTAGCCAAGGAAACAGGTGCCGGCTGTACCCGTCTAGGGCGCTGCACTGCAGCTGTGCAGCATCTGAAGGGTGAGCAGCATCGGGGCAGATGTTCGCAGCAGCAGCTGAGAGGCTCTCGAGACGCCTGCGCTCCCTGTCAGGGTGCCCAGTCCTAGTCCCAGCAGAAGACGGTGCTCGGGGGAACTGCGTCCCTCACCCTTGTGGGAGACCCGGATCGGGTTCTGAGCCCCTGGCTTCAGCGTGTCCCAGCCCCAGGTGTGGAGAGGGGGCCGGCATATACAAGATCTCCCTGTGTCTGACTCTTTCAGATGGTAAAAAAAAAAAAAAAAAAAAAAAAGGCCGGCGCCGCGGCTCACTAGGCTAATCCTCCACCTAGCAGCGCCAGCACAACGGGTTCTAGTCCCGGTCGGGGCGCCGGATTCTGTCCCGGTTGCCCCTCTTCCAGGTCAGCTCTCTGCTGTGGCCAGGGAGTGCAGTGGAGGATGGCCCAGGTGCTTGGACCCTGCACCCCATGGGAGACCAGGAGAAGCACCTGGCTCCTGGCTTCGGATCAGCGCGGTGCACCGGCCGCAGCAGCCACTTGGGGGTGAACCAACGGCAAAGGAAGACCTTTTTCTCTGTCTCTCTCTCTCACTGTCCACTCTGCCTGTCAAAAAAAAAGAAGAAGAAAAGGCAATTTGTTTTTCACTCCCAAGTTCAAATTCCTAACACGTGTTTAACACAAAATGGCTCTGGGAGATTATTTGCATGTGATTTCCTGCATCCTCCCATCGTTCAACTCTTGCTACGAGAATATTTGTGTAGCGTAACTCAACCATTGAAAGCCAGATGTCACACTCTTTAGCAGTCGAAACTGCAAGTTTAAAATAACATCACTTCTGCAGCTTTCTCCCTGTAAGCAGAGCGTGATGACTCCTGGGGTTAACTGGAGCAGAAAGAAAACTGCGCCGGGGAAGCCCCCACTCAGCAGCAGTGAGGAATCCCGCTTCTTCCCACCTGGTTCCTTTTTGTGGGTCTTTGTAAATGAAATGTGAGAAACAGAGCCGTCGGTCATCTCCCACTTGTGCCCAATTAAGGCCACTTTCTTCTGTGGCCTAGACATGGTGCTGAATGGAGTTGGACACACAGACAGCCCCTCCAGCTTCCAAATAGTTTTGAAACCATTTCAAAATAGCATTGTGCAACTTCCAAAGGGAAGTTCGGGTTGCAAGTTCCAGAGATGACAGAGCCTGGTTACGTCCTTCAAATACGTGGTCCTGAACCCTTTCTCCTTAACTGGACAATTGCACTTTTTCGAAACACCCAGGTGGCAAGAGTGAAATGTAGCTGTGTACCTGATGAGTGTCCTTGTGGTTTAGCAAAACAAGTAAACTGCAGATGGGGTGCAGGCTGACTTTCTCCTTTGCAGGCTCTGTGAACTTCCTTTTCTCCCTTTCCTAACCATAGACTGGCTCATTCCCTGTGCTGTGATGACCCTGTCTCTGCCCTCTGGAAGCTTCTGGTGCTCACGACTATAATTATCCTAAGCACAGGGGTACTTCAGAATTTTCATGAGAAGTGCAATTGATAAGTCTATCTTAGTGCAAAAAATTTGTGAAATCCGTGCATAGATTTTTTTCATAATGTGCATTTTTATGCACTATTTGAAGAGCCCTTGTATGAGATGGCAAACTTCTGTATCAAGTTCTGACCCTACATCGTCACTTTCTCCAGCTCTGCTTGGAGTTCCAGCTTCAAGCTAATGTGCACCCTGGGAGGCAGCAGCTGGTGGCTCAAGTAGTTGGATCCTTGCCACTCACATGGGAGGCCAAGATTGAGTTCCAGGCTTCTGCCTCTCTCTCTCTCTCTCTCTCTCTCTCTCTCTCGTGTGCACGCACACACACACACCCACACACACCCACACACCTGTACTACCATTGCTACAGCTAAGAGTTGGCAATTCCTTAAAGCCATCGATTATTCAGGAAATCTGCAGATTTCCCCCTTTGTCTAATACATTTCATTTACACTTTGCTTGAGATGGGATTCAGATAGTGTCCATTCATTGTGTTTGCCTGGCAGGCTTCTTATGTCTCCTTCAATCTAGAAATTCTTTGCAGCATTTGCACTATTTCCCATCGATTTCCAAGTCCCAGGGGTTAGTTCTCATCAGCAGTGCAAGCCCCTCCTGCTCTGCTCTTCACAGGTAAATAGCAATGAGGGTCTGTTAAAAAAAAAAAAAAAAAAAGGATGAATCAGTGCATCTAGTGTCACTCACAAAGAATACTGCCAGACTGGTTGGGGCAGAAAGAGCTGATGAACTGTTTGAGACAGGGCTAGTAATTACGTCAACCAGGTGGAAGAGTGCTTGCTTTGGGAGCTGTGTGGGATGTCTGTGGTTCAGAGTGATTTGTCACACTGCTAGGTGTAGTGATTCCTCTTAATTTATCATTCGCCTGTTGTAGAGTGAAATTTCGTTCTTACACTGAGTTATAAAGATCCACAAACTAAAGAAGAAACGTGAGCAAGATGTGAGAATGCACGAGGAGATCTGGTGGAAGCCTTGCTTGAATGGATCAGCTGCCCTGGATGGAAGCAGGGAGACTGCACTCTGATCCGAAGCCTGGAACAGGAACCGTGCTCTTTGTTGATATGGCAGCAAGAAGTTTCAGACACTCTCAGTGTGCACGTTGTCTGCGAAGGACTTGACTCATTGCTGCAGCCATCAGAACGGAGAGTGAGCGCCTTTAGCCCCTTCTTTGCAGAGGGCACAGCACAGAAAGCTCTTGAATCCTGTGCTGCCCATGCCGTTCTCCCCGGAGGAGGCATTTCTGTGTTAAGCAGCTATTGATCATTGCACAAAGTGAGACAAAGGGAAAGATTTTGAAAAAAGGTTGTGAAGCCATACCACTCCACCAGTGTTATTCCCCTTCATCTGTTCACATCATCAGTGCCATCCCTGTCATCAGTAACAGAGATCCGAAGGTTCTGCTGCTTTGAGAATCATCACTAGCAGAGAAGGCAGAGGCTGGCAGGTGAGTGGAAATCTGAAGGCAAAGAGAAATGTACTTAGAGTTAAGAGGGCTGACCTTGTAAATGAAACAGACCCTCAACATTTGACCAAGGTATACATATGATTTGGGAAAATGTTGATATCACAATAATAAAAAGATAGAGTATGCCATTTTCCAAGCTTAGAAACCTTGAAACAATTAAGAGGTTGAAATAGTTTACATTTGCTCACAAATGGGTATACACTGTACATATTCCTGCCAATGCATTTCAGCCCTCCAGGTAAAAGATGGGTGTTCCAGTTGTTTCCAGACTTTTACTAAAACAATGTTGCATTGTTCATCACTCTCCACCCATTCTAAATATAGGAAGAATGCTTTTGTAACAGCTAAAATATCTTTGTTGAAGCGATGATGTAATATGACCTATGTGAAAGCACTTTATAAATTGCCAAATTGTAAGTATTGCTATAATTGGCAGAGAACGAATTAAAATCATAAATTATGTTTCATTTCATCATCCATCCATTTAGTATGTGCAACAATGCTTCAAAAACTGGTATCCCTTTGCTGTCCTGTTTCTCAGATGTTAACAGTAATCTGTAAAAAGGAAAAAAACATGTCTAATGTCGCTCCCCCTCTTCGTGGAGGAACGACACAAAACCCTGCCTAGGCTTCACATCCGAGTCACGGCACCATTATGTCGCTCCCCGTCTTCGTGGGGGAACGACACAGGACCCTACGCTGTTCTTTTGTCTGCTCGGCCCTCCCCGGGTTTGCTGCTGGTTCTTCCCGGGTTGGCTACTGTCCCTTCCACCTCCGTGGAAGGGCA